CGCTGCACGATGGGAACGAAGGAGCTCAAGTGGCTGTATCGGGATGTTACGCCGGTCCAATCTTCAATACATTGTTCGCTCTCGGGATATCGCTTGTGGGATGCGCATGGGAGGCTTATCCGTCGAGCATTGTGATTAAGACAGATCCTCGTTTGTTGGAGAGTCTTGGGTTTCTGGTAGTAGGACTGGTTTGGTCGTTCTTGGTTCTGTTTAGTAACCGTATGAGGCTTGGTGGTGTTATGGGCATAGGGCTTTTGGTTATATACTTGGCTTCGTTGTCTCTAAGAATTATGCAAACCGTTGGAGATGCTCACTAACTTTGATTTCAACTCATAGTCGTTTTACATAATATGGGTTTGTATAATCTTCTTCAAGTAAAAGGAATCGATTTTGTAATGTATAGGTATATGTATAACTTTATGTAGATTGTAACGTAGATTTTTCATCTTATAATATATATGATACAATTTCGGTTTCGTGGAGGAAATTATAAAAAACTACTGTATCTATACTATTAATTGGGAATCATTGTAGAATAAATAACCTCATTAAGGGTAAAGTATTACAATTGATGCCATTAGAAATTTTGAATTTAAAGAGTAAACAATAAAATTCTTTAAAGGGTAAAGTTGGTATTTTGACAGTGTACAAACTCGCGGATCTTGGACCTTCTGGGTTGGATTTTGGGCTAATGGGGGTGGATACACACGTGGATCATGTGGATCCTGGGGTCGATTTTTTCGGTTGGGAATTTAGGAATGTTGTTATTCGACATTTCCTAAAATTAGTACAAAAATTAATGCTTAAACCAAAAATGTTAGTATCAATTACTCTATAAAATAAATAAATAATTAATCAATTAAAACATAGATAATAAGGAAATGATAATCAAATATTTCACCCTAATTATTTGTACTTGCCATAACTACTTGACAAGTAAAAGATTAATTCGAATTTCAAATCAAATCTCATATATTAAGAACTTACTAAAACTACTAAATCAAAACAGTAAACAAAATCTTAAGCATAAAAAACAAATTGAATATTTCCTAAAAAATTATACCAATTACTAAAATTTCAAATCCTAGCAATAATGTTAACCACGTAATTCAAGGTTTGTATACTTGAAAATGTTAATTTCAATCATTTTTTATAAATTTGCTAATATATTTATATCACTAATTGTATTTAAAATCAATAATAAATAGCTCTAATTCTAAACTCATTTTTTCAAAGTCTTACTAACTTATTTCCTTATTTGTTCCTATCTATTTAATAGTAGTATAATCTACAACCTGATATCAAGGATTATCAAATCATCAACAAAGAAAATCTATATTTCCCAAACAAACGTTTGTATATAGACATTCTCTTAATATTATACACGGAATCTCAAGAGCATATTCCAATACTGAAACTAAATTTTACGTAACTAGCAAGATTGTATAAGATTTATTGTTTTAAAACCTATAAAATTATTTATGAATTCGCCGACTTCTTTTTAGTATAAATATTGTAGTGATCTATATCATTTCCAATTCACCGAAACCTCTTAAATCTCTTTTATTCCAAAATCGAAACATACACACAAAAGAGAAAAAATATTGAGTGACTACAAAGTGTCAAAGATAAAATGTAAACCAGAAAAACAACTTCTCTACTTTTTTTGTTTTGTTTATTATTCACAATGTAATTCTGGTATATGGTTTTTTTTTTTTTTTTTTTTTGTATGAACATATGGTTCTTCTTATTCCAGGTTAGATGGAAACCTGAATGTTAAGAGAAGCGTGTGATGGTGTGTATCAAAAGTTGTTGGAACTTTGCATCCATTTTCGTTTGAACTTTCTTAAAAATCTTATGCTTTTGTTTTGTCTTTACTATTTTCCTGACATGATACATATTTATTGTGTTTAATTGAGGATATTGAAACAACTACATTGTCGTAGTTATATTAGAAAGTCATTCATGATACTCAAGTTATGTGAAGTTTCCTTGGTTTGTTTCACTTATACCCCTGAGTTATAGTAATGAACTTAAATTCTATATAAGAAAATTGACAATATTTGATTCTATGAAGTAAAATAAGGTTAAGGTATCATCTATATGTGGTAAAAGAAACTTACTAACCTTTGTTTCTAGACTTCCTTCACGGAAATTAATATCAAGCAGCATTCTTCCCTATCACAAGAAAACAATGGTGAGTCAAATCAAATTTCCTAAATGGAAAGAAAATTTTAACACCATGAACGTGAATCATCCATCATGAATATCAAAAAGAGTATGACAAGGGAAAATAAAGCATCATATTTTGACAAAAATGGCATGAGCTTGCATATATTTAATGGGTGTGTCTGATATCCCATTTTACGAGATGGTTTAGCTCCTGCAAACAAAGGTAAATGGATAATAACATAATTGTTACAGAGCCAAAAATGTTATGGATTGGATATGTTAAGAGGGTCTGGTTATATAGGTATCAAAAATTAGCCACAGGACAGTAACTGCAAACTTTATTTCGGCTAATCGAATCTGAAGGTAATGGCATATACAAATTCACATGAAACATGAACCAATCTTACAAATGAACTTTTTTCTACACTAGACGAATTCATACAGACTTGTGGTCAGTACTTAAGATCTTATTCAAGAGTGATGATTAATTGATGAAATCCTAATTAAACCCAATTGATAAAGATCTAAAATTTCTAAAGAACAGAACAAATTCAACACTGGATTTTAGGAACAAGGTATCATTGTAATGGAACATGCATTGAATTATCTTTGAAGGAGGAAATTTTAAACCTTATCCATGATTGAAGGAGCGAGCCATTTGTAACCAGCGAGACCCAAAGCAGTTAGAATCGCGAAGAAAAGACCAAGCTTGAACATAACCACACAGATCTATCCCGTCCACAAGAAGAAGAAGAAGACGGTGATAATGAATCTTCTTCCTCTTCATGATCTGCTTCTTGAGAAATACTTCGAAGTCCACACTCCACACTGAGTTTAATATAATGGCCTAATTTCTGAACTACATCATCTTCCACTCTAACTCGCAGTTCTGAAACCGCATTGTCTTCCTCGCGATAGGTGAGTAAGCAAATGATTTACTCTATTAATCGAAAGAACCCTAAGAATGAAAGAATTAAAAAAAAAAAATAAGATTTGTGTGTTTTGTGAAAGAGAACGAATTGCAGTACCAATTTTTTTTTTTTTGGTGTCTGTTGTAAATTGATCTTCTGCTTAGTACTGCATAAGAGAAGAAAAAACGTCTAGAAAGTCTTTATCTCTCAAACGAAAAGCCCAAAAAGTGAAGGTGAAGAGAATGTGAAGAAGAAGATGGAGAATACCATTGATTAAGCAAGAAGAAGAAAAAAAAAGTGTTCGATGAGAAGAAGAGGAGCTACAGGGAGAAGAAACGTGACGTTAGTCATTTAACAAAAAAAATGCTTTTGGGCCAATACGAAAAACAGGCCCAACATAAATATACATTAAAATTATAAAAAGAAAAAAAACTCATAAAACTATAGTATATTTCCAAAAGTATAAAATTACAGACTTAGGCTATATTTTTTACAATAAAATATATTTATAAATTTTTTAGTAATATTATAAAACACTAATAAAACATTTACCGGTCATGTAGTAAAGCGATAAACATATCAAATAACGGAATAAGTATTAAAAATAAATACCCGATACTCGATTCTTACCCACGGGCCAAGGGTAATAGAATTACAATATCTTTTACCCGACCCTAAGATCACGATTACCCTTTTTTCGAGACGAGTATGAGTTGGAAAATGGATTGAATATATGTAACAGGTATCCAGCCTTAAATGCTATATACATCAAAAAATTCAAATACAAACAAAATCCCGCACGTATGTGCGGGTCCGGATCTAGTGTAAGTGTATGATTTGCAATCATTTATAGTTCAAGTTAAAACAAGAAAAACCAAAATGTGGTTTAGCAAAACTCCAATATTGATCTTGACCAAACAAAAAGAAAGATATCCAACACTGATAAGAAGATTAACAGTTTCAAATTGAATGTATCGCAACATGCATAGCTTATAATAAATTTTAGAGTTATGGAATTCAAATTGAGTAGCTATAATTTTAGTAGGTGTCAGATTCTCGACTAGTCAACAATTTCTGCTCATACATACGCATAAATGATCTCATATAGATAAGGTAAAAAAAAAAAAACTATTTCATATAGATATGTATTTTTTTTTTTTTTTTGTAATCTCTTCGTTAAATTGGTAATTTTGTGTTGCCAATCTATTTATTTATTTTCCACAAGGGAATTACTATAGTTTATTTAGTTCCCAGTGTTGTGGGAGTTGTTTGAAGCGACAACGCTTGTCTCTTTTTGCCAATTTGCATCCAAACTCAAGATAAGATGTGGTTTTTTCTTTTCCTTTTTTTTTTTTTTTTTTTTTTTTCTCTAGTATTGATATTGTTTATTCTATTATTGTGAACTTCCTTATCTCATCATGACTCGTGTGCATAATAATTTGGCACATTTTTCTTGTTTGTCTGCAATTTGTTTCCTTGGAATTAGGATAACTCCAATTTTTGGCCTTTTTTCAAAATGCAATGGGACACTTAGCAACGTTCCTTACCACAATATAATTGATTAGGGATTTTACATTGAAGAGAAATTTGGCCATATTTGCTAGATTCCGGTTGTTTTCACCTAATTGAAACCATTTTTTTAATCAGAGTTTTCTTTTCGATATTTGGAATATTAATGGTTGAGCCAAAACCACAGAAAAACCAAATAATTATACGTTATTTTAAAACATCAATCTAATTAATTAGAAGATCACAAAGCTTTTATCACAAAGAATGGTTGAGCTATCAGATCAGACTAGACATGAAAGTTAATTAAACTTTATGACTAGACAATTTTCAAATGTTTAAGAATTAATCTTGATGGGATAAGTTTATAAGTTAAAAAAAAATTGATATTCTTATATCAAAATGAAGATAAGGTTCATGTAAATAAACGAATGAACAATTACTGAAAATTTCAGTTAGTCTGGTAACAGAGTTTTAGTACTAATGATGTCATATGTAAACAATCCATGAACAATGAACCTAGAACAACAATCCAAAGCTTTTTTTAATTTTAGTGAGGTACTAAGTGAATTTGACAGAAAATGAGTGTTCAGCAACAAACAAATTTAGCCATCCCTCTCGATAGTATTCAAACTATGCACAAACTTTCTTTTCATTTAAGGAATAAATTAAGACCCACAAATTTGACGTATTTGCAAATTTTGTCTTTAAGAATTAACTAATATTACAAAAACAACCAAACAAAATTTAAAAAATTTACATTACTATAAATTCACCGGTCGATGTCAAGGACTCCGAAAACTCTAGCCAATCTCAAGGACAAGAAACAGAGGTAAATAGCGAGTAAGCCCCCACCGACAAGCTTATCAAGTCTCATCTTCTTCTTTGGCATTATCACAAGTGCCCAAAGCAAGCCTACCATTAAGAACCCTAGTGTCTCAAGCAACGAACTGTCACTAGGAATGATGTAGACCCCGGGGTATTCGGCCAACGAGGAGATGACAAGTGGTACACCTAGTCCAATCACCGTGTTGAATAGCGGACCTGCGTAGCACCCAGAAAGGGCTATCTGAGCACCGTCGTTACCTCCGTGAAACGCCACGGTCACATTTGCGATTAGATCGCCTAGAGAATTTCCCCAAGCTAGGACGGTTAGTCCTAGCACGGAGGGGCTTATACCAAAGATATTACCTAAGGATATTAACAATGAGACTAGCTCTTGTGCTATCATGTATGTCCATGTCACACTCATCGTGAAGCCTCCTAGAAGCCAAACTAATGAGAATTTCTTCGGCGGATGTGATTTTTCTGTCGTCAAGTAAGCTAAGATACCGAGGATTAGCCCGATAGATCCGGATACTATGTACAAGATTAGGTTTCTTTTGGATCCGCTGTAATGAGAACAGTAAAGTTCCGTTAGTAGAACAGGCGCGATGGCTGTGGAAACCACAGCGCAAGGCTTTGACCATTTTTCTTCGCGAACAACGGGAATTGTGAGCCGCCTGGGGAGATATAGAGGTAGTCCGATGATGCTCACTAGCACCGAGAAGCAAGATCGGTGCCTTTTTGGAGGATCTTCAAACACAATCTTGAATTCTTGAGCTGTTTTCTCTGGCAAAACCAGTTTCTCCTCTGTTATATCGCCTAACAACGGAACACCCATCTCGGCTAAATCCTCTCTGCTTCGAAGAATCTGTTCGGACATACGTTTCTTGCGGTCAAAGAAATGCGAAACCGATAAGAACCCTACATAGAGGAGATAAATGGAGAGGTAACAGAGAGCGACCCAAATGGTTACTTTGCCTATGAAGATGATCAAACCGAGACAGCAAAGAGCGACCAGAAGAAAAACCACGTCGCGGATAAAGCTGTTTCTGTCGATAGAGACATCTCTAGATCCAATCAACACACAAATCGTCCCAACAACGAAGCTTGAGACGAAGAACGCACCACCTAAAATAGAGTTGAGCCCGAAATCGCCATTATTCGATCTAGTGAAGGAGACAACACTTGAGAACAAATCAGGTGCACCGTTGCCGAGAGAAAGAAGCGTGACTCCAGCCATTGTAGGAGACAGCTTCAAAACCTTAGATAAGCTGTCTAAAGAAGGACAGAAGTAACTCGCGGCCGTGTCTCCGAGCAAGTAGAACAGAACAAACAACCAGACAGATAAAACTAGATGGCCCAAAACAGGGGATTCTCCGAAGATGCAGAAGAAAATCTTGAGATAGTCTATGTAACCTTGTGGGCCACATTTTGATTGAGATCTAATGTAAGAACACTTGGAACGGTGGTCGTCAAGGCTGGCGAGTCCTCCGCTGCAGCTGTCACTGT